GTTTGGTGCGTAAATATGTCACTTTTTTGTTTACGTGATTTAAGAAAGATATAAATATAGCGTGATAATGCCGACATCCCTTTTACGTGTTTACTTTTATTATTACTATGGGACAGGCTTCTGAATGTGTATAAAAACAAAAAAAGGACATACAAATGGCATACCTTTTCCTAATTGGTTAAAATTTAAAACGGCAGGATTAATACTTATTTTCAATATCGGAGATGGAGAATTTCAAAAGACAAATGCTGCATTGCGGGGTCAAGGACATATTTTTCCTAAATATATACAACTCTTTTAGGAAAAAAATAAAATAAAATTTGATATAACATGCAGGCTTATATCATACACAATTAAACACTTTTTGTATTTTTGTAAACAAAGTGCAGTTTGCACTTCTTATCCGAATAAGATGACATTCTGGCATTGACATGACATTCTCAGATTGGGACGTATATATTTCGCAAAGCCAAATTACATTATCATTATTATGGCCCATCTCGTTTCCTTCCGCCTGTTATAAACATTCTTTAAAAAAAACATTTTGTGGAAGAGATAACAGATAGAGGTGATCGTCACTCAAATATGCAAAATATTTATTTGTTCTATTAAGGGGACAATTCGAACATACACTAATTCAAGAATGTCCCTATAAAATTCCAAGTGAAAATCTCAACGATTTTTAAAGATAAAGCCGATTTATTGTGTTAGCATCACTTAGCGGCAAGAGTGATTCCGCCTTTTCTCGGAACAGTGTTTTATGAATTTGTGAGTATATAGCTATCGTATGAACTAGGACAAATCCAATCAGTGAAAATCTTCCTCATTTTTTAATTTAGCCCATTGAAAATCTTGAAAATTTAAAATCGAGAATAGAGGGGGTTCCCACAAGTGCCAATTTCTGTACTGACAATAACAACCAGTTCATTTTTATGCACGTACATACAGGGTGAGATAAAAAACGCCATAATTTTTTTACATTATTTTTATACCCTTCACCACACTGTGGTACAGGGTATTATGTTTTTGTGCATATGTTTGTAACAGATAAAAGGAAACGAGATAGAAACATGGTTGCTTTTGAGAATATGCATAGAATCACTTTCTGAGTCGATTTATGCATGTCCGTCCGTCCGTCCGTCTGTAGATGTTAAATTGTAGACGAAGTACACGTCGCATTTATGATCCGATTTGGATGAAATTGGTGAAATCGGTTCAGATTTAGATATAGCTCCCATATATATTTTCGTCCGATATTGGCACCAAAGTCCCTATATATCTTCCGGTTTGCAATTTGGCATAGCGTACTGATTTATGTCCAGAATGATGTGTGCCAAGTTTCGTGAAAATCGGTTCAGATTTAGATATAGCTGCCATATATAGGTTTGTCCGATTTAAGGTAAATTGGGCACCAAAGTCCCTATATATTCTTCGATACTTACTAAATTTTGCGTAGGGTGCTGAATTAAATCCCGAACGATGTGTGCTAAGTTTCGTGAAAATCGGTTCGGATATAGATATAGCTCCCATATATATTTTCGTCCAATATACATGTTTCGATTTGCACGCAATTTGGTATAGCGCATTGAACTGAGTCTAGAATTACATATGTTAAGTTTCGTGAAAATCGGTTCCGATTTAGATATAGCTCCCATATATAGTTTCGTCCGATTTTATGTAAATAGTTTGATAGCGTACTAAATTATGGTACCATATATATTTAAACTGGAACTATATTTTTAACAGTGCGGCATACTGAGTAGCGTGTATCAAGTTTTCTATGAATCAATTTCCATAAATTTGTCCCATTGTACACTAACGGTTCTTAATCTGCCAAATTGAAATTAAATTTAGCATAGGTTGCAGAGGGAACATTGACATGAAATTGTTAGGATACATATGTACAATATACAAAAAGTGGTGAAGGGTATCATATAGTCGGCCCAGTCCGACTTTACTACTATCCTTACTGGTTTTTGATTTTATTGAGTGAAAGCAAAAATGTCGGAAATAGCATCAATAGCATCATTTTAGAATAAGTTTAGATTTGTTTGAATTGGTCACCTTTGGCACGAATTATGGCCTTCAAACGGCCAATGAAACCGTCACACGCTGCCCGAATATTGCTCTTCGGTATTTTGTCCCATTCCCCGGGGAAGCGCTTGCTTGAGGTGATCGACACTTTGGAATTTTTAGTGCCAACCTTGCCTCTTGAACCTCTTTTTGTAATAATTCTTGGGTGGCGCGTGTTGAAAGTGATGGTGCAGCACTATCGACCGTGGCATCATGGTATTAATCGTATACGATTAATACTATCGGCTGCTATAGCGGCCCACACCATCACCATAGCCGGCGCTTGAGTTCTGGTGGCCAACCGAAGGTGCACATTATCAGCTGACCTCTTTGGCAAGTAAACACGATCATTTTGTTTGTTTACAAACTGCTAGACAACGAATTATTTTTCATCGGAGAAAATATTGTCACCAAAATGCTTTTGTACGCTTGTAAACAATAAAATGTGCTGTCACTGGAATAATTTTAAAAGCTGTCGGACGAGTGGCTTAGAAACGACTGCAGTCTGAGGTTGTTTGCAGTTTTTTGATCTCACCCCGTACATCATATAACGAAATAGATATTCTGTAAACTTGATAAAAATTTTTGTTTGTGAAAAGTATTAGCAAATTTAATGGAGATTTTTCCTAAAATCTGAAAACCTCAAAACGTGAATCGATGTTGATAACACATGGTTGGGTGCAAAATGTGTATAAAATCCTCAAAATACTGCAATTCATGATGTGCAGAATATGCCCTCTGCAGATTGGGCATATTGATTGACTACATTGTGTAGGAATTGGAGAATATTCGTGGATATCATAATGTGATGGGCTATGCCGAATTGAGGAATCCCATACTTTGTATGGCAATATGGTGGAATACGGCTATGTGGGAACAACCTAAAACGCGTAACAACTATTTTAATATAAAAAGGGGGTTATATAATCGATTTCATCCAGACTTTAATATTAATATTTATTCCAAATTTAGTTTAAGTTCGAAGATGGGGAATATCGGTCCACTCCTTCTGGTACCTCACTCACAAAATGGTCAAAATTTGTGCTAAAAATTGAATTTATAATAATATGCAAACAGACTATCCGATTTTAAAGAAGCTTTGTTCAACTTATTATCATTACCAAGTCTAGATGAAGAAGGAATATGGGGTCCATTGATTCACTACTTATGGAACCTCCCCCCCCAGAGGGTAAATATTTTCAATATTTATATATCCAATATCAGGCTAATGAAATGTCCGATTTTAACCAAACTTTGCACAAACTATTACCTTTACCAAGACTAGATCATGTTTAAAGATGGGACCCCTTGGTCCACTCCTTCTGGTACCTCCCCCACAAAATGGTCAAAATTGTGCTAAAAATTAATTTTATAATAATACGGCTATGTGGGAACGAAACTTTATTCAACCTATTTTTAACGAAACTTTATTCAACCTATTATCTTTACCAAACCTAGATCAAGTATGAAGATTGGACCGTTTGGTCCACTCCATCTAGTACCTCCCACACAAGTGGTCAACATTTTCAATATTTATAAATCCAATATTAGGCGAATGGAATACCCGATTTGAACCAAATTTTGCACAAGATGTTACGCAAACCATAGATTGAGGGTATATATCTGTTGGCAACGCCGACAGACACTTTTTTACGAGAAATTTGGTACCTAATAACAAACCAATGGTGTCAAATTTTAGCGAATTCGCTTGAAAAAGGCGCTCAAGAACCCCCAAAATACCGAAAATTGGGGTTACCCTTATATAGGAGCTATGCCTAAACGTGGACCGATATAGTCCATCTTCGAACTTGACTTGCCTGCAGACAAAAGACTCTATGCAAAATTACAATTCGCGATCTATCCCAATTCGTTTAGACGCTAGAGCGATTACAACAGACACACGGACATGCCTAAATCACCATTGGATTTTACGCTGATCAAGGATATATATACTTTATAGGGACGGAAATTATTATTTCGATGAGTTACAAACAGAAAAACAAACTGAATATACCCTCCATACTATGGTGGAGGGTGTAAAAACCGAAAAAAATACACAAAACAGCCATAAATAAAATATGCAAATGCAATATGAGGGATATATCCATAGGATAAGCCAATTGTGAATAGGGAGGAAGGAAGTGAAGGTCAAATATTGGGAACAAGTCAGTAACTAATATCAGTATCAGTTACCAATCAGGAAGGCAGGATAACACATGGAAATTTTACTCATTTTTGTAAAGTTAATGCGAGCATATAATTTTAAAATTAAAATTATTATATATTGCAACTGCATATAGGTTGCTTACTTGTTGATCGTAGCAATATGATTTTCAAATTAAACGTTAACTTTAACGTTAATAACTTTAAAAATATTATATATTTTTATAGTGCTCATGATGAAGGTATAAAGACCTTTTTATTTGTTGTAGTAAATGTGCGTGTTATCTCAAAAATTTACCATGGCGATTGGCTATTTTTATGCTCCGGTGACATTCTCTTCTATAGTTTTGCGGTTACATAATTTACAAACGAATGTAAATATAAGTATATTAATTAATATCCCTTTCAACTTTTATATATGGTATCGGAAATTTTTTCTATATCATTAAAGAAATCGAAATAAGAATTTTTAATTGCTGCAATTCGACATCGTACACATTCGATTTAAAGTAATCTATTTGTTAAATTGTGTCGAAAACATATGTATGTATATTTGCTACACTTCATACTACAACTACCCATAGTTGACTGTGCAAAAATCCTTAAAGTATACAAACCCTCTATTTTACAATGTCCTTACTACATGTATACATGTACATATATCTACATATGTTTATTTGAAAATGTCTAAAGTGTCACAATATTTGTTTGTATATTTTTGTACATACATATGTATTTATTTTTTTGCTGTTGTTTGTTTGTAGATTGGTAGCTGCTATTGGTGATACATACGGTGCCGCCCTGTTGCTTCACATGTTGACATCGACCATTAAATTAACGCTGTTGGCGTACCAGGCAACCAAAATCACGGGTGTAAATGTTTACGCTTTCACTGTGATCGGTTACTTGGGCTATGCACTGGCCCAAGTATTTCACTTCTGTATTTTTGGCAATCGTTTAATTGAGGAGGTAAGTAGACTGTCTGTCTATCCAAACACCCATCCACCCACCGCCGTCACTCCCACCACAGCCTGGTGCTACATTACTACTATTAAACTAACAATAATACCCTGCAGAAAATAACAAACGAAAGCAAATCACATTAAACAAACGGCAGAAAGTAAATTCAATTCGTTTCATTTCGTTTCGACATGAAAAAATACAATTTAGCTGACTGGCTGCCTAACTGTTGGTTGGTTTTCAGTACAGAAGCTTCAAACTAGGAAATGCAACTTTACTTTGATCTGCACACTTACCCCCCGCACTCACACACACAAACAACTATCCATTGGCCAATGTACCCCAAAGAACTTCCGCACCATGAACACAACAAAAGTGCAAGTCTACATTCTGTTGCTTTGGGTGTTTTCTGCTACTGCTTCTTCTTTTTCTTTGTTGTCGTCTTGCTAGTTTATCTTGCATTTGGTCGAAATGTTTGAAAAGACCTCGACAGGACAACAACTGACCATGAAAAGCACAACGAAAACACAAAGGACAGACTCAACCATGACCAACATCCGCCTGAAGTGCACTCTCATGTCATGTTAGGTACTCAACATCATCCCAAAAATTCGTAAGCCGGAAATGCACTCAAAAGCTTTTATAATAGCAAACTTTGATAGTGCCACCTCCCTCTTTCCCTTCCTATCAGGGCTGCTTGGGCAAACTTTCCTGGGGAATCATGCTGTTGCTTTGTGAGTGGCATTTTCTATAGATTTTGGGTAAATAATAAGCAAAAAATTTTGGTTTACTTTGCCCAAAAGAAGATGTTGTTGTTGTTGTTTCTTCTACTACTTTGTGAATTGAAATATTTTTATTTCAAGAATCGAATTTCGGATAATTTGATTAAGGGAGAATTTTCAATATGTTTGCAAAAAAAAATAAATTATATTATATTATTAATTCTTTTTCTTGGAAATATAAATAACAAGTTGTAGTTGTTTTGGATATTATAGTTTATGGACGATCGAAAGAAGTGTGTGGGTTGTTCGATGCTACGATCGATACGAAGTTTTACACAACCATTAAAAATGGGTATTGAAGAACATGTATCTAGTTTGATTAAATTCGGCTCAGTATAGTTACCTTATGCGTCCTTCCGTCTGTCCATATAATTTGTGTAGATCTGGTTTTGTTCAAAAACGATACATACAGCCTTTGGTAATGATGGTATTTAGGGGATCAAATGGTCCAGAAACTTTATTTTCTATTCGATCTGTCAATATTACAGAAATTGTCAATGTTAAATTGGTATTAATTGCAGTGGGACGAATATACATATATATATATATATATACCAAAGTTTACATGTTGTGTGCCGAACAACCTTAAACTTTGACAAAATTAGGTTATTTATCTAAAACTAGCAAATTCGTACCTTAACAATCATAGGTACGAATTTCTAAAACTTCACATAATTACAAATTTCCATTACTGCCTACATCATGCAATCCAATGGAAAATCTTATTGCCCAACTTCAGGATTCCAGCTTTATTGGTTAACTCTTAATCCAAATTGTACCAAATTTAGTGGCATTTAGTACTCATTACTAGAAATTTCCAAAATTTTCTACTTACCCCAATCCTACACACCTCCAAATTTTAAGATACTAGGTCCATCGGTTTATCTAAAATTAAAATTGTACTAAATTTAGTGCACATACACAGTACTAATTTCCAAAACTACGCACATACCACAATTCTACACTCCAAAAGTAATCTTAATTTCAAATTTCAGTATTCCAGATCTGTTGGTTCACCTGAATTCACATTGTATCAAATTTAGTACCCATAATCACAAATTTCCAAATCTCCATGTCCCAATTATACACTTCAACAGTAATTTTAAATTCAAATTTCAGGATTCCAGTTCTATCAGATCACCTAAATCGAAATTGTACCAAATTTATTACCATTTAGTACACATAAGTACCAACTTCCATTACTACCTACAACATCCAATATAAATTTTATTTCCCAATTTCAGGATTCCAGACCTATCGGTTACCCTAAATCCAAATTGTACAAAATTTAGTACACATAAGTACGAATTTCCAAAGCTATTTACATACCTCAATACTACAACAGTAATATTAATTTCAATTATTTGGTATTCCAGCTCTATCGGTACACATAAGTACTATTCGTACACATAAGTACAAATTTCCAAAACTATCTAAATATCCCAATCCTACACCCCAACAGGAATCCTGACTCCAAATTACTGGATTCTCTATCGGTTCTCTCAAAATTCCAAATTGCACCAAATTTAGTAAACACAAGTACCAATTCACAAAACTACCTACATACCCCAATTCTACACACCAAATTCAAATTTTATCAAAGTAGTAAGTCTTATATAATACCCTTACACAAATCTGGTAGTCTAACATTTAATTAGATTGCTAAATTAAGTGCCATTCCAAAATTTCCATTCCAAATTACTACTGTAATTTCACACAAAATTCAACCCTTGTTAAGTCCATATCAACATGGTTTTCGTAGTGGTCTTTCAACTATTACCAATCTTATACACTTTACTTCTACTGTGATAAAGGGATTTGTTCAGCGTAAACAAACCGATACAATTTATACAGACTTTAGTAATGCTTTTGATAGGGTTAACCATGAACTTTTACTTTATAAATTAAATCATATTGGCTTTAGTATAAATTTGGTAAATTGGATTTCATCTTACTTACAAAATAGGACACAACTAGTTTTGTTTGAGGGATGTCTTTCAAAATCGATTAATGTTCCATCAGGTGTTCCGCAAGGAAGTCACCTAGACCCGATTCTGTTTCTATTGTTTGTAAACGATTTGCCAAATTCTGTATCGCATTCCAAATTGCTAATGTATGCAGATGATGTGAAGTTGTTCATTACCCATTATTCTAAAAAGCAAGCTGATTTACTCCAGCATGATTTAATTAGCCTATTTCAATGGTGCAGCTTAAATTGTATGGACTTGAATTTTGTAAACATATGTGTTTTTCTAGAAATTCTTCTTCGATAAGACATTACTATATCAATGGTTCGGTTTTATCAACTTTAGATTCTTTCGTTGATCTTGGTTTTCTAATGGATCCAAAATTAAATTTTAACAATCATGTGATATCTATTGTAAATAAAGCCTATGGTGTCTTAGGATTTATAAAACGGTGAGCCAAAGAATTCTCGGATCCATATTTAACGAAACAACTAGTTACGTCTCTTGTTAGACCTATTTTAGAATATGGTTCTGTTGTATGGGATCCCCAATATGCAATATATTCTGATAAAATCGAATCCGTGCAGAAACAGTTTTTTTGCACTGAGATGATTACATTGGAATATTAGTTTTCTGTTGCCATCTTATACTAGCAGGTTAAAATTAATTCGTTTGCCTACATTGAAAAGTAGACGTATTAGTTTGAATACTATGATGGTACTAAAAATATTAAATGGTAATATACCTTCGGATTTCCTAATTTCTTCTATTAGAATAAATGTGCCTGTCCGATTAAGTAGACACTATCAACGTTTTATATGTAGACTTCCACCGCACGAATTACTCTAAGGGAGATCATCTTAGTAAAATGTGTATTGACTTTAACTCTGTATACTCAAATGTAGATTTTTGCTTGAGCGTAGAACAAATAAAATCTAATATTATGGAATTTTTAAATGAGTAGTAAAACTTAATAACAAAGTGGCTGTTGAAGTAGATTCTGTAGCTGGTTTTTCTATTCCACTCTCAAATCCCATCATGATACGGATCATGGTGTGTACGCGATCCCTACGTAAGGGGAGGTCGCCCCCTCGGTCGGCAGGGGTGGGAATGAGAGGCGTGGGAACGTCGAAAAAAGTACCATTTAGTACCCATAAGTACAAATATCCAAAATTACATCCATACCACCAATTCTACTCTCCAACAATAATCTTATTTCCAAATGTTAGTGTTTCAGCACTACCGGTTCACATAAATCCAAATTTAGTACCATTCAGTACACATTAGAAGAAATTTCCAAAACCTCCTACGTACCCCAATTTTACACCCTATTTCCCAACAGTGATCCTATTTCCAAATTTCATGATTCTAGCTCTATTGGTTCACCCAAAATTCAAAATGTACCAAATTTAATACACTTATGGACGAATTTTCCAAACTACTAACATACCTCAATTCTACAATGCAGTAGTAGTCTTATTTGAAAACTTTAGTTTTGCAGCTCTATGGGTGCACACATATCCAAATTGTAGCAAATATAGTACCATTTAGCACTTTTCTACTCATAAGTACAAATATCCAAAACAACCTACATATCTCAATCAAATTTAAGTATTCCAGCTCCATCCGTTCCTCCAAATTAAAATTGTACCAAATTTATTCCTGTTTAGTACTTTTCGTGTACATGAATACACACATCCAAAATCAGCTCCTGATATCGGCCCTACTTCTCAACCTTAATTTGTATTCCAGATTTTATGTTAATTATACCAAATTTACAAAATTGTTCCAAATTTAGTACTTTTCGGATACTTATAGTTCAAATGTCATCAATGACCCTCATTTCAAATTTAAGAGGTCTAGCCAAATACAAATGGTATCACATTTAGTACTTTTCGTGTCGTTGTAATATGAATTTCCAAAAACCCTGCCTTATCTGACACCTTTCGACCAAGAGTGACCCTCACACGAAATTTCTAGCTTCAGCCGTTTCACCGTCTGGGCGGTGATGAATCGTTAAATCAGTCAGCAGTGAATCAGTAAGTCAGTCATACAATCAAACTAGGTATAGAAAAAAAACGTACCAAGTTCGGCTCAGATTTAGATTCATTGATGATGCAAATAATTGGTCATATTATCGCCATGAGCTCCAGCAAGTAACGATGCTACGAGAATCAAGCCTATGTGTTTCACTGTCTAATCCAAAAATAACTCCATTTATTTTCCCATTTTCATTTAGAGCTCATCGGTTATGGAAGCTGCTTATTCTTGTCATTGGTATGACGGTTCGGAGGAGGCTAAAACTTTTGTGCAAATCGTTTGTCAGCAATGTCAGAAGGCCATGTCTATATCGGGAGCAAAATTCTTTACAGTTTCATTGGATTTGTTTGCATCGGTGAGTATGTAATGTTAACTAATATATTTAATACAGACAAATTAAAATTGTTTTCTAATATCATTCATAAAAAATGATTTTAAATTAATTCACCACATAATCATGTATGTGTAAATGAAACTTAATGGCTTCGAAGATGACTCATTTTGAGACTGCCAAAGAAAAGTTAATTTTCATAACGTCTATCTACGTAAACTAACATTTTTGCCACGCTCATATAGACAAAATGCTTAAATTTTCTATCCTTCATTATGAAACTGTTATATTTTTAGATAACGATTTAAATAAACAAATACTTACATTTGAGTCGTTTATTTTTAAAGTGTTTTAAGTCCATTTTTGTTATATTTGGATATTTAAATGATTGGATTTTATTTGTTTCAATATTTTTGGTCGGGAAACCAAGAAGTGTATTAGAACTTAAAAGGGACTTAAACCATTTTAAAATTTCAATGCAAGATTTTTTTTTTAATCAGTAATTTTTTGTTGCCTCCCTTCTAGGTCCTGGGTGCCGTTGTCACATATTTCATGGTGTTGGTGCAACTCAAATAAGACCATCAAACCATCATCATTGTCGTCATCATCACCACCAAAAGGCAATCATCAGCAGCATCTGCTACGGCTAAAAATCAACCACAACCAAACGCTCACACATGGAAACAACTGTGTGCCATGGAGAAATTTGCATGAAATACAAATGCTCAATGCAAAAACAAGGACATGTTTAAAGTTATGGGGGATTAATTAATAATCACTCAGTGATATGCCAACTACGAATATCTTGAAAGGCTCATAATATAAGTTTTATAATATTTTTTTTATAGTACACTACAATTTATATTTATTTGAAATGGAAAACAGCTTTGGAATCCATCTCAATCGTTCTTTTCGAACTGAAAATGTTACGCATTTTTTTGTTTGCTTTGATTTCCATTGCACCAATTCAAATCCAATATGACCAACAAATATTCGAGGGAACCCATGTGAAATCTGTTGCCTTGACAAGACAAGTTGGTCATGTAGAATTCGGATATAAGTTCACAGCATCCTTTTTTCTTTTTGCAACTATGGTGATAGACAGACTAACAAGCGTCTATTTTCATAACGTGTCAGTCAGTGACTTTAAAACTTGTTTTATTTTCTTGCATTTTTTCTCGTTCGGTTTGATTAAGTTTTAGTTCAGCTGTCAACGGCACCGTCATCACCATCATCAGCACCACCAGCATCGTCTATCTATCCTCTTCATGGTCTTGTTAGAGAAATTTATTAGTTTTTAAGTGAACTTAGATGATTTCGCAACGAAATTAAAACCGAAAACAACGACAACAAGAAAAAACATAACGGCAAAAGAAATGCCAATCTGTATCTGTGTGCCTTCTCACAACTACAAAGTAAAATGCAACAACAATAACAGCGACAACAGCAGCAAACTTTATTGAACTGCTTTTTTTCGCTCACTTTTTTGTAGAAATTTAACAAAAGTTAAATTTTAAAAAATTCTTGCAGCAAGAAAGTCAAGTCAACCAGTTTGCGGTGAGTTCCAGGCGATTACTTTCCAAAGTTATGGCTTCTTGAATTAGTCATAGCATGGCGAGCAACTGCAGGCAACCACAGAATGGTCAAAACAATTTTAATTTTTATATTTACACAAAATATTAAAATGTTTCTTTCTTATCTTTATTATTTTTAATTTAAGGCTCTGTTAATAAACTAAATAAATAAATAAAAAAAGACAAAAACAAAGCAAAAGACAATTGTTTATTAAAATGTAATATTTACACTTATGTGGTGAGTAAGAAAAAACAATCAATTATCTATCTTAGATGCCGAGCAAAATTTTGAATGAAAACCACTAAGGAAGTAAAGTATATGATCCTCTGCACCACTTTAGATATATTCAATTTCTTACAGCAGTTGTATGTAAGTTTCCTCAGTATTTCCGTTGCCATAAGGCCAAAACCTGGGCATTTTTATAAACTCGACCACAGGGTGGAGTGTATATTAATTTGTTTCGTTCCGTTTGCAACAACTTGGTCCCCATAACCACTAAACGTTCGGACCCCAATTGTTAGTTATAATCCCCAGTTTTCTCTATACAGACTAATTGGCCTACACAGACCAATGGTCTGTCAGCAGACCAATTCGACTATATAAAATCCTGTATTCTATATACAGACCAATTGGTCTCTATACATACATGTGGTTTCTATATAGACCAGTGGACTTTCTACAGACCTATGGTAGCTATTTACTTTCAATCGTCCTCTATACAGACAGAAAGGCTGGCAACTGAACGTGCTTTATATTGAAGACTTGTAACTTTGCATATATGTATTTGAAGACTTAAAGGATAAGAAAATTAGTTGACAAAATTATGTTGTTGTTTTTTGTAACTAAAGAAAAGTCATTCTTTTGACGGCGAGCATGATTTCCGACCACTGGAACGTCCGAATTCAAAAAATGCAACGGCATACGAAATAGTAAATGTATGGCTCTGGTATGATCTAACAAAATGACTAAGCTAAGAAATTGTTTTTTTTGGAAAATTCCCCGTTTTGACTACAAACCAAGTTAGAAAATTAGGAAAATCTTGATCGATTACAATTATCCTAGTTCATACGATAGCTATGAATGTACAGAATAAAGAGTTAAAATGTGGAATGGATTGGATTATTAGTTAATAAGGCTGAGATTTGGAATGGAGATTACAGTTTATTTATTTATTTTTTTTTTGGTTATTCTTGATGTTTATAATAGGAGGTGGTTGTGTACTAAAGTATTCGAAAAGTTTTAAATGGAACTAAATTTAGTACAATATAAAGTGGGGCGATGCATAGATATTAAATTTTGAAATTAGGTATGTGGTAAGTTCAGTATACGAAAATTTTAAATGGTACCCCGAAGGTACTTTCTATACTTTTTTTTTGTTTTTTCTATCAATCTTCTAAAAACATTATATAATAAATTGCATTTTAATAATACTGCCTTAAAAATTTTTACACGAACTACTTACGAAATGGAATGGAAATAATACGTTGTTATAATGTAAATTATTATATTTTTTGTTAGAAATGCACTGAAATATGAGACTTCGCGATGTAACGATTTTATCGCTGTAACGAATGGGCCTGACAATATACGTTATACTAGGCTAAATTACTAAAATTTGGTATGGTGGTCACCATTCTGTGGGGATCAGATATGTTCTAATTCTAAATCCAATATCTGATCCCCACATAATGGTGACCACCATACCAAATTTTAGTAATTTAAATAAAAATAAATATATTTAGAATAACAAGTAGATTATTCTTATCATGAGATGAGAATATGGTTTCGGAAATGTCCAAAAATATAACGTTAGTGTCTAGGGTTGAAATAAATAGTTGAATGGTAGTTATATTAGTATTCTTATATTATTTAGTATGGAAACGTTTTCGTATCAACATATACAATACTACTTTTTAAATATATATATATATAGTCCTCCATGTTATTTTGAGCCGATGCATATAAACAATTATCTTAAGAATAAAAATTACAAAAATTTTGCCTAAATGCTTATTTGGACCTATACTAATTAATGTACACATATGCAAATTTTTAATGTGGATATTTTTCAATTTTCGAAATGTCTGGTTTATTTAAAATTCATTATTTTCTACTCCGCGGATTCACAAATCAACCGATTTAATAATTAGGTCATAATTAAATAAAAAAAATCTACATCCATTGGATATTAACAGAAACGGAAGCTGAGGTAAAAACGCAATTGCCATTAAAATTTTTAATATCGCTCTTAGACACAAAAAAACAGGCTACGCTTTAAAATTTTCTTACAACAATTAAAATAAAAAAATAAAAAAAATGGAGTATTTTTTCTACATTTTAAGTGCACGTGGTAATGTTGAAAGAGTAAAACCTGTTTTTTTTACCCAAGGGCCAAATATAAGGTCACCAAAGCATGAACAGCACCTATTCTCATTTCATAAACAAACAAAAAATGTATTTTAATAAAAGTATTGCAAGAAATAAAATACGAAGAACAATTAAAACGGCGTTTTTATTTTTATTATTAAATTTTGATTGCACATTTTAATGGCTAGCTTGAGTCAATCCAATATAAAATGGTCCCAAATTGAACAGGAACTTATTATTATCGTTTTATTTTGTTAAACAATGGATTTGATAGGCTCGCATAAAAATTATTACATTTTTTCAGGATTTCTTATTGACATTTTGAATGTTTATTTACACGGAGTTGTTCTACATGCTAGTTTACTTTAAATTACGTTGTTATTGAATCTGCATCCATCACATTTAAGTTATCTCTTGCAAGCCTTTAAAATGCGGAAATCGGTTAGTCAATGTATTGTTTCCTTTGGCCGCTCGATATATGAAAGAAATATGAAACGTAGACAAAAAACAAAAACCTTCTCATTAGAGGTTTAAATATCACAGAAATCAATTCGTTGAGAGATTTTTTCAAACCTCTCAAAATTATAAACCATTGTATTGATTGATCGGATAGTGGAAATAACTATAATTGTACCTTTAACCACTCTGTGGTACAGGGTATTATGTCTTTGTGTATATATTTGTAACAGGTAAAAGAAATCAAGGTTGACCCTGGTTCCTTTGGAGAATATGCATAGTAACAATTTTTGCGTCGATTTATGCATGTCCATGTATTTTTGTGAGCAAAGTATATGTTGCATTTATGATCCGAATCGGCACTGGTCACTTATTTGACGCAAGGACGAGCCCTATTGAAATTGGCGAAAATCCGTTCAGATTTATATATAGCACTCAGATATATTTTCGTCCGATTTAATGTAAATGGTGCACCAAACTTCCAATATTTGACAACATTTTGGACAGCTTAATGAATTAGATCATGATTTCGTCCGACTTAACGTAAACGGTGCTCCAAAGAGTCTGTTTTTTCGATTTATACGGAATTTGGCACAAGATAGTGAATGGTATTATATGTTTTAAGTTTTATAAAAATCGGTTCAGATTTAGATATAGCTCCCATATATACTTTCGTGCGATTTTATTACATCCTTTTCGTTTTGCACGATATGGTTTAGCATTTTGAATTGAATCCAGAATGACGTGTGTTGAGTTTTGTTTAAATCGGTTAAGATTAAGATATCTCTCCCATATATGTTTTCATCCGATTTTAAGGAGCCCATGTTTTTGCGCCTGGCATAAAATATTGCATAACGTATTGGATTAAAACCGATTAAGGTTTAGATATAGCTTCCGTAGATATTTCATCCGATTTCATCTAAATGGTGTACCAAATAAGTAAAATTTGTCAGATTGGGACGAATTTTTGCCCAACGTTCCAAATCGCAATGTTCGACCCATAATGACGATGTCATCGGCGTCGGCGAATAACCTGTGATTTTTGGTGCCATTTCTGCCAGCTGTATTAATTTTGCAGGAATGTCGAATGAATTTAAACACCTCTGAGCGGATTGGGATGTCGAATAGGTGGAATGTATTGATGTGCTTTTCGTGGGTCTTCTCCAGAATTAAGCGCAGTGTGAAAATCTGGTCTATGGTGGATTTGCCAGGTCTGAAGCTGCATTGGTATGGTCTAATTATGTCATTGACCATTGGCTTCAATCCTTCACATAGCACGCTGAATAGCACTTTATTTGCGATGGTAAGGAAACTTATTCCTCTATAGTTAGCACATCCACAGTATGCTTAGCTTCCAATCCAAAATGTTGTAATATTACACAAAAAAGTTCTGTTTCAGTTGACTAAATATTGACCTTTCAGCCATTCGAATTAGTTGGTCAAATTGACTTTCCCTTGGAAATTTTATGATGTTATAAGTGCAGCATCTAGAGCGACTAGAAAGCTAGACAAAAATAAAGTTTTTGGTCCATTTCATCATGTATATAAAGCGATCCGCTCGACATTTTCGTTTCGATATTTTCGTATTCCTAGAACACCTCCTAGGATACAATTTACATTATATATCTAGATTTTGGCATCACGTAATAGACGCTGAATAAGACTATGGACCATTTATGTTGACAAAGTGTCCAACCACTTCAAACTATTTATAATTTCGAGAGTTTAACTATACATGGAGTGATTTTGGTTTTGGAAACTGCATACTAATAGTATATACGTATGTACATATATTTTTTAAAAAATCACCGATTTATATTTTTATTTCAATTTTCAACTGTTGACTCTTTCTTACCGAGAGTCATATCAAAATATTACAACCCTACAGTTTAATTGACAGCAAACATATCCAAACGAATAACAAGACAATTATATGTACCATTTACATTGTTAATACAATTATGATTTTTCCTTGAATTTGACATTTTATTTTATTACAAGTCATGTTACCGAGTTACAGTTATTACAACGACTAGAAAATGTTACCCCCTTTTTTTCCCGAACAATACATGAAGTATTAATTCGGTTACAACAAGAAAATGTTGTGTGAAACTAACAAGTATGTATGTGTTTATTGTACAACAACTGCATCAACAAACAGGTAAAACTAGACAACTTGATGAAGCGGCAACAATGAGACTAATTTCTGTTGCAGACCCCCAAAACCTTAATTCAATGTGTTGATCTCAACCCAGTGTGTGTGTGTGTTCTAGGCTGTCATGACCTGGCCAGATGAACAACTTTGGCAAATTTCTATTCAAGAATTTATAGTTAAAACGCGTCTAGTACATTTCCGGCTAGAAGAATCGTGGATAGTTGATTTACCATCCACTGCTTGTGATGTGACCGAATTTTGGATGTTTACCGCATTTGTCTTGCATTGGAATTCCGCTTTTCGTGTTTTGTTCAACTTTTACCTCATAAACTGTTGTGTATTTTAGTTTAGTTAGTTGTTTAGTGTTTCCACTTAAATTTTCTTTTCTTTCGTTTTTCGGCTCTTGGGTTTTTGAGGGGTTTTTATTTATTTTAATTGGTTATTATGGTTATTATTTATATAACACACCCGAAACTGCAGATGCGTTATGGTGGCGAGAGCTTGAATTTAGTCAAATATTTATTTTTGCATAACAACAACGGTAAAAATAAAATTTAATTTTGGACGTTTATGTATGATATTAAATGAAGACTTAATTCGTTCAGGGATGTCACAGCAAAAAAATGAACTGCAAACGAGCGAAAGCAAAATTGTTATGCAGATCATAAAATCTATTCGGGGTCATAACAAATTATTTTCACATTAACATTTGGTACTTGCGCATATGTGTATGTATGAGTTTGTGTGTCACATTGATAAAATTTGTTTATATTATCAGCCTTATAGTATATTTTTGTTTGTGCCATTATTCTATGAGACAACTTCATTACATTTAAAAAGGGGCAAATAAATAGCATACGGGAAGATGGTCATGCCAGACTTTCGACTACCATCCTTCCGAGCTGATAAAGGTGTAAAAGGATAGTTGCTCTGATACTGTCTCTTTTGTTTCATTTTTTTTTTTTCATTCACAGATATGCAACACAATTGGTAATTATTGCCAATTCACCATTTAAAGGCGTCGTTTAACGCTATTTCATTCTTTCTGCATAGTATGTTAGAATTCTTTCGCCTTAGAAGTATTATAACATCGCCTACAAACAGACTGGTTCAAATCCCTCATAAGTTAAAGTTCTTGAGAGACCAACAGGAGTGCTGACAGAATCTCTCCCTGCGGTACTTTATCCCTGATAGCTATATCTTCAAGGCTACAGCTTATCCATCTATTCCTTAGAATATTGCTCGCCCAGTCTATGATTGACTGGTCAACTCAAAAGGCTTATAAGCATTTAATAAGCGTTCAGTGTCAACATTGTTGAACTCTCCCTCGATATCAATGCATACAGCTAAAGTAAAGAGTAAGTTCGCATAATGTAGTACACCTATTTAATATTTTAGAGTATCATTGGATATGTTGCCCGTTATCATTGTGTCAATTTGCGGTCTTAGGTATAAAGACTACGCTGGTTTGGTTGCCAGGTACTCAGAGTGCACACGAACCTTATACATGCGTTAAAGAGTAAAGCTATGCATGGTGATAGATAGTCCATATTAAACGAAGAGAAGGATGATATACTTCGTTTGTATCAAAAGGTTCAACTTATTATCGCTACACCAGGACGAATTCTCGATTTAATGGATAAAAGAGTTGCTGATATGTCGCATTGCAAAATTCTTGTTCTGGATGAAGCCGACAAACTATTATCGCTCGATTTTCAAGGCATTATTTTAAATTATTTTTATTACCGAAGGATTATTTTAAAATTACCGAAGGATCCTCAAATTCTTTTGTTTTCGGCAACTTTTCCACTAACTGTTAAGAATTTTATGGAGAAACATTTACGCGAACCTTACGAAATAAATTTGATGGAGGAACTTACATTAAAGGGTGTTACTCAATATTACGCATTCGTTCAAGAACGCCAAAAAGTACATTGTCTAAACACGTTGTTCTCCAAACTCCAAATAAATCAGTCAATAATATTTTGCAACTCTACACAACGTGTGGAGCTTTTAGCAAAGAAAATTATGGAACTCGGCTATTGCTGTTATTACATTCACGCAAAAATGGCACAGGCGCACAGAAATCGAGTTTTTCATGATTTCCGACAAGGATTGTGTCGCAACCTTGTATGTTCGGATTTATTCACACGTGGTATAGATGTACAAGCAGTTAATGTTGTTATTAATTTTGATTTCCCTCGAATGGCTGAAACATATTTGCACCGAATTGGTCGATCTGGACGCTTTGGACATTTAGGTATTGCTATCAATTTAATAACGTATGAGGATAGGTTTGACCTACACCGAATAGAAAAAGAACTTGGAACTGAAATCAAACCCATACCTAAAGTCATTGACCCTGCTCTATACGTGGCCAATGTTGCCGTTAATTCCGGAGAATCTAGTAATAATGATCTTAATAATTCATGTATTGAAGAAGGAATTGTTAGCAAGTAATATGCTATTATGGAAACAAATTATATATAAATTCTAAAAAGAAATACATTACTGAATTTTTGGATTTTCATTTTGTAAGATTCCCTTTATTATATATTTTTTAATAAAAACAAGTTCTGTACAGTTTTCTAAAAAAAAATCGTATTCATCAATCTTAGCTTCCTTGAATTGTTCCAGCCTTATTACCTTTGCGTCGTTTACGCTATCTGTTCACCGAAAAATTTCCAGTTCTTTCTGCTTAAGGAGAGAAGTGTGGATTTTTTAAAGAACATTTTTCTGGGGGATTTGAAGGATTTGTGAGGGATAGGATTAAATTTTTAAAGAATAAAACATATTTTTACACATTTTCCTAATAGTCCTGACAAAATAGTAAACTATTTTGATCAGAAAATGTTGAAATTCGATACAGTTTTCGTTAAAGCACATATTCTTACATATTCTTACGTCACTATTTCCGACGGACAATCTCTGTGTGAAACTCAGATACCTGACAGAAATTCATGCTCACGGAACCGTATCACATATGCCCAGTGTTGCCAAAACTTTGTTGAGGAAAAATGCTGGATTTTGTTGAAAAAAATGCTAGAAAGTGCTAAAAATTTTAAAAAAGTGCCAGAGAAAAGTGCTAAAAATTTCTAGAACAAAATTGTTAATATTTAACTATGAAATATTAATCAGAAACCCCATTTATTCTTAACGACAATTCGTTGTCGATTTAGTCATGTCCGTCCGATTGAGGTCGCAATATTGAAGACAGAGCTTTGGAATTTTGCACATACGTTGGTACTACTCCTATGAGATTTGATATTGGAAATGGAATATATCGGTCGTTTTAGGGTACACCATCCCCCAATATTTTTTTTTAATCTTTTAGGCACATTTTTCAACTTAAATTGCTGTTTATTTGTATATTGTGTTCTACCTGGATATATAGTCTTCTTACTATAACTTATTAATATTGGTCCACTTTTAAGGGTAACCCTCATCAATTGAATTGGTTTTAATTTGATTGTTTAAATTTTGTTGAGTAAAAAATCTCCTTATCAAAAATTATTAATATGGGTCCATATTTAGGGGTAGCCCCCAGAGAGCGATACCCTCCCCATTATTCGACATTTTGGGGACGTCGGACACGCAACCGAATTGACTCAATTTTTTCTACTTTTTGTTTTGATGGTGTTTGAAATCTACCTACTAAAATATAAATACTAATAATGTCCAAAGGTAAATAACTATAAATATGAAGACAATTATCAATTTTCGTCCCATTTGCGTACTTTTAAGGGTGTATAATCTCATTCCCAACAGCGACTTTAATATAAAACAAGTGAAAAAGCGTTAAGTTCGGCCGGGCCGAACTTTGAATACCCTCCACCATAGATATACTGATAGGTACTATAAATGAAAATATAGGGAACATACCAAAAAGTGGACCTATTCCGACATTTCTAAAAACGGATTATGTAAACCATTATGTTAACCATAATACAAATTCCAGAATTTTTTAATGGATAATTGTACCCTCAGCCTAATGGCTAATGAGGGTGTATACACTTTAAGACGGTGAAAATGTGCCTCATCGAAATATTGGTTCTAGACTCATGTTTCTTTGGACCAAATCCGTTTCCGAAAATTTAGATTTCATCAAAACTTTGCCCATCTTATTATTTCTTCCAAACTTAGTTCAAATTTGAAAATGGTTAATATCAGTCCACTACCTCTGGAACCTCCACACAGGGGCTAGGTCTAAATGCGGATATAGTTCATTATCGAACCTTACGATCTAATTTTGTATCTCGCTTTCCTCCGCAGGTGAAATGATTACAAAGAGTCTCAGAACCAAATTCAAAACGCGGAACAAATCAGATTACTATTTTAATATAAAAAAGGGGGTTATATGGGGACTACCTCAAAAAGGGGGGCAAATATTAATACTTTTTGGTAGGGAGATTTGTTACCATATGCGACTACAAAATACCAAATTGCAGCATTGGGGGGAACCCTTATATGGGAGCTATGCCTAAACGTGGACCGATAAAGCTCATCTTCGAACTTGACCTGCCTGTAGACAAAAGACGACCCTATGCAACATTTTGGCGATCTATCTTAATTCTGTTAGACGCTAGAATGATTACAACAGACAGACGGACATGGCTATATCGTCATAGAATTTTACGCTGATCAAGAATATATATAATTTATAGGGTCGGATGAGTTACAAACGGAAAAACAAAATTAATATACCCTTCATACTATGGTGGAGGGTATAAAAAATATGTTTGCAGGAATCGTTCTATTTTGGTCCTTATTCTGGCACAATTCCAATATAAAGGGGTACGCACGCCTTATCGGTAATCTAAAGTGGTTATAACTTAGCATTCGGGATTCCCGCTGAATAAAATACTTGTTTTCAGAAAGTTCCAACATAATTCATGTTCATTATTTTTATATTGCTCTCAAATGTACAACTTAATTAGATTTTTCATTTTCCCAAATAAACAATCTACCAACAGACAATGTCATAGTCACCACATGAAGTACCCGACCATTGGAAAATCTAATTCATCGCGCGAAACATAGCGAAAATTCAATGCGTCAATATGAAATCGATAAACGGGATTTTTTGGGTTGAAACCAAAATTTTATAAAAAAAATCCTAAGAAATTAAAAAATGCTAAAAAATGTGCTAGGTGCTAGATCAATTTTTTTGGTGCTAAACGAGTTCAAAAAGTGCTAAATCTAGCACTAAAAGTGCTAAATTGGCAACACTGCATATGCCTAAAGATGTACAGTGGGCAAATACCCAATGTGTAAATACCCGGTAAATTGGGTAAATGCCCATTTGTGGGTATATTCTATGTTGAATCACTAATACAGCATCTTACACCCTACTTCTGGGTTTGTGTTATCCAATCCATTCAAATTGAATGGTGTTAAAATACTTTAAACACGTGGGTATAAACTATTTAATTGCCAAACCACTTGGCGTAGGCTGCTAAAATTTGGCTCACAAGGTTTTAATAACAAAACGTCTACTGGTATAACCGTACCTCCTGATTTAAGGTAATTGTTATATATTAGCCCCATTTTACAAATTAGCTGTAATTTGACACTGAGAGTTCTCAATGGGTACCAAATATCCACGCAAAAATTTTTCGACTTTTACGTTTTCTGTTAGCCACCTATAAAGGTTCCGATTTTGGTTATTTTTCTACATTTTCGGTATAAACACTTTTTTTACAAAACGTAAACCTACGCGGACGCTGTTTGCATGAACATTTTGTTCAAAATAAGAACTCAGCTAAATTATAGACAGTTTTATTTTGAAATATTGGATAATAGATAAAAAATACCTTGAATCGGGAGGTATGGTTATATGGGAGCTATATAAAAAAATGGACCGAACTACACCATTTGTCATACCAAAAGTTGATATAAAGAATATGTGAGCCAAATTATGACAACCTACATCAAGTGGTTCGCCAGTAAGTGAGTTTATACCCAATATTTGGATAAATACTTAAAAAGGGTACCTTATATGTTGGGCTTCCAGAAAACATGGACCTACGTCGATACATTTTTGCATGGACATTTGGTACCCATAGATAACTCTCCGGTGCCAATTTGTAAAATATTGTCAATAAATAAAAATTACCTTAAATAGGGAGGTACGGTGATATGGATGCTATATCAAAACTTGGACCAAGAGACCCCATTTTCCTTACCAGTTTTTTTTTTCTTTTTGACATTTAAAACATGTGAGCCAAATTTTGGCAACTAGATGTGATAACAGAAAAATAGGGTGTAAGATGTTGTATTAGTCATTCAATATAGAAAATACCCAAATAAATACCAGCAAATGGGTGTTTAACCGGTATTTAACTACCCGCTAAATACCATCTCTACAAATGCGCTCTGGCAACTGTTGTTACACAAATGGCTCTTGTTGATTGGAAGGACAAAACTGAGACTTTTTATATAATAACCGGGGACTGACATTCCACTTCATTTGCCAGATCAAATATAAGAATTCAGGATATGTTCAAAGTCTGAACGAAGTACAACAAATGTACTGACAGAAACAAACTATAAAAGCAATACTCTCTAATAAAAACCATACATTTTTCGCGACACGGTCTTATGCGAATAATTTGGGTACCGGGTCACACAGGAATCATAGACAATGAGATAGCCAACCTGCTCGTTAGATAAGACTAAGCAAATATTAATGCATAACATGGACCGACAGGTATTCTTACAGGATATCTCCGTCTGCAGGCACATTTACACAAAATTGGATAGAATGTTTTCTATGCTTTTGCAAAACTTCCAACCCAATTTTCGGGAAATGATTCTATTCACTACCAAAATAATATAAAAACCTTCAGTTCGGTAAGAACTCAGAATTATTTAAAAATATAGAGAGACCAATCCCAGTATGTTTTCTTCTTCTGAAAAGAAGACAAAACATAGACCGCAACTCTTTCCATCCTTACCTATATAATTCAATATTTTCTGTAAAATATATCGTGCCATATTGCCTTTTTTCTTTCGGCCTCTAAATTACATATAATATACACCATTATTTGCTTCTATCCACTCTGTTTTAAGAAATTAACAAAATTACAAATATGTGCACATTGTATGTATATTCTCCATTCTTTGAATAAAAACAATCCCACACTTTGTTTTAACATTCTTTTTCCTAATTCAATTAAATTTCACTTTATAGCTACGCCAAAACAACAACAAAATTTCTGTTGGCAAAACAGAGGAAAACCTCATCCGCCAAGAATTCAATTCATTTGTGTGTGTAAACAACAAACAACAAACAAAAGTCAAATGGCCAAACGCCAATACGAATTTGTTGCCAAGTTGTAAGAAGATAATTGAATAGAAGAACAGTATCAAAGATTCAAAATATATTCAATTAGAAGTGGTTAAGAGGTAACGACATCTACACGTAGAAAAAGTAGAATGTGCGACAAATTTTTAAAAATTTCGTGTAAGTGTGCTATTTTCAAAAATTCTTAATCTTTTAGATGATTAATCATAC